GCAACACCGTGGGAAAGTAAGTTCCTTTCCAACTGATCGTTATAACGTAAAGAAGGGCTGCCTTTTCTTAAAACACAATTAGTGGGATCCGCGTATTTATCTTGAACACTCCAAGGGTCCCTCGTCAGATGATGTCGTGGTCCATGCTTTTACGCCATACATCAGTAGGGGCTTCATAAAATACTTACACAGTGTGTTTTTCCTTCGCTTAGAGAGGGCTTATTCCTCAATTGCCTATGGTAAGAGTGACAGTCATTGGCCAACTATTAATTTAAGTTGCTTCGGTTAAGTGGGAATGCCTGCCCACCTAGCGGTCATACCGCCTGCGTGATAACTGCAGTGTCTTTCAGGCGAAGATATTTGCCATAGAGAAGGCGGCTTGTCTCATTCGGGATAGTAATTACCTGTCTGGGAACGTCACTACATTCGTTGACAGCCATGCGGCATTGAAAACATTAGGCTNGAGAAGGGCTGCCTTTTCTTAAAACACAATTAGTGGGATCCGCGTATTTATCTTGAACACTCCAAGGGTCCCTCGTCAGATGATGTCGTGGCCCATGCTTTTACGCCATACATCAGTAGGGGCTTCATAAAATACTTACACAGTGTGGTTTTCCTTCGCTTAGAGAGGGCTTATTCCTCAATTGCCTATGGTAAGAGTGACAGTCATTGGCCAACTATTAATTTAAGTTGCTTCGGTTAAGTGGGAATGCCTGCCCACCTAGCGGTCATACCGCCTGCGTGATAACTGCAGTGTCTTTCAGGCGAAGATATTTGCCATAGAGAAGGCGGCTTGTCTCATTCGGGATAGTAATTACCTGTCTGGGAACGTCACTACATTCGTTGACAGCCATGCGGCATTGAAAACATTAGGCTACAGGGTGGCAAAGTCGAAAGCATTTCGGAAAGGTCGTGCAACGCAGGCTTCACTTAGTCACGTCAAAACTTCTCTCTGCCGTGTAGAAGGGAACTAAATATTCGACAAGATGGCTTTTTGAGGGAAACACAAGAGCAGTAACCACTAATCTTTGGATTAATAGGGACGACTGTGGGGTCACAAGATCGTTTTGGCGGAGGCTCAATAGCGAAGTTGAAAATATCGAACAGAAATGGTTTGACAGACTTTATACTGACATTACAGATTATCCTCGGTAAGAAGGGTGTGCCTTTTTCTGGCGCTCATATAGGGCATTAACAATGGCCAAATCTGCCTCGGAGTGGAAAAACGAGTCATTCGTACGCGCCTTCCTAACCTAACGAAACCAAAATTTCCAAAAGAACCGAGGAACGGTTCCGGAAGAACCTAAACTTGATTCCAAAATAACCGAAAAACGGTTCCGGAAAAAGCCGAAACTCGATTCCAAACAATCGAAGACGGTACCAGAAGAACCTAGAATTTCGGTTCCTCATTGTTTTTGATGCTATCGACTTGAAATTCGGTTTGTTTGGGTAATATGTAGTTCTGAGTGGACCAGCCAAATTTTTTGTATAGATTTAATGTTATGCTAGTTTTTTCCTCATCTTTGACGCTTTCGTATCGCTGTCAGCTGCTACAAAAAGCAGCAGACAAAAACGAGCAGCGTCAACATCGAAAAAATCATGTGGAAACGAGTATATATTTTAATATAGTTTTACGTAGGTATTTTATTTTTCTAAAATTTTTGTAACGCAAATATCTAGAGCTGAGATACAAGTACAGGGATATATTTGTATGCGAACTTTCTTTTATATATATTTATACAGCTCTAAATGTAATTTAATAAATTGGAAATACTGAGTAAATTTGGTATTCTCTTTTCTTTCAGACTTCCATTACTTCGATGCGCGTATCGCAATTTCAAGTGAATTTCCACCTTTCAACGCCTCAGTGGTAATCACTCAGCAATGCGATGAATCAGTCCGAGACATATACACAAATCGAGATTAATTCCACTGGCAAGAACCAAAGTATGTGACAGCAAATATTAACAGTAAATACCAAATCACTCAAGGCAATTATTTCGATTCACATACCAAAGAGCAGCCGCAAAGTGATTACTGGCAGCGACACAAAACAGGTGACCGGGGCGATATTGCATTGCAGAGATTACACACACACACACACACACACACACACACACATACATACAACTGTAAGCGATGGCAAGCGGCAAGATAATCATCATGAATGACAAACAGTAGCAGCAATTGTAGGTTGAGTGTTGCAAGCAGCATTAAGTTTATTGCGAGGCGACACGGGTTTGACACTGTTAAACTGCGCCTAGAGCAATCACAGATACAGCAACAAAAAACAAGAAATTCAACCATTAAAGCTTTCAAAGTGCCCATAGGAGCAATGAGTGCAACAGTAACAGCAACAACATTCAGCCATACTCAAGCAACAACAATAGCACCGGGCACAGATAAAGCGAGAGCAAAGGAGTCGACAGCATGGACGTCAGAGTGGACTTCGTTATGGCCGTCGATCCTTTCAGCGAATGTTGGTTTATTTACGACGACAACAACAACGGCAGTAGGTGCAGCACAGCAAACAACTGCAATTGCCGCGCCGACTCCGATGGATTTACAATCAAAGCAAATGGCAAAGCTGAAACTTGACAGCAGTAAGTGCCGCCAGCGTCATCATCATCATGACAAGCACAACAAAAACAAAACAACAAACATCAATATCCCCGTTGCGCAACGAACTTTAAGTCGAAATCAAAAGCAAACCCAACAAGCACATCAAACACAAATGCAATGGCAACGACATTGTCAAGTGCGCCAACAACAACAGTTAAGCCGTTACTATCCCATCCACATGCCTCAGCAGCAACAGCACAATTGGCAGCATTATCTGTGGCAACGGCAACGCTGCTCATCGCCGGACTATGTGTCCTTGTCCGCCCGCCTTCGCTCGATGCTGAAACAGCAACAACACCTACACCAACAGCAATGGTTGCGCTTTTGCCTTTTGCTCGTCATTTGCCTGTCACTGCCCTCTGCAACGAATACAAAACCTCAGACCTCAGCAACATCAACAATAACAACAACAACACGAACAGCACCAGCAGCAGCAACTTTCACAGTAGCAGTAACAACAAAAACATTAGCAGACGCTATAACAACTACAGCCACAACCACAACAACAACAACAGCAGCAACAACAAGACCAACACGCGCAACCGACTTAACGATGATGCCGCCAGCAATTGGAAGTGATGACAACATCGTGACCAGCAATAGCAGCAAGTTCTCCCTCACCGCCAACTTCGCTATCAGAAACGTCATCATTCCTTCAACCGCGACAAGCGTAAATTCCACAACCGCATCAAATGCCACAGCAGCAGTAAAGACCGCGTTGCGAACGCTGGAGCGGACAGTGTCAACAACATTGCCAACAGCAATGCAAACATTCACATCCGTCGCATTGCTGTCATCATCAGAGACAACACGGCCCACAGCCATTATAATAACAACAACAACGTCCAACTTCGAGGAAAGTGAGCTGCATGCGAAGGCAATGGCGCCCATCAGCAGCAGTAGTAGCGTGAAGAATACGCAATCGGCGAGTTATGTGCACTTAGTAAATGAGTTGTTGCCTGAGGTAATGGCAGCACCGGCAATAGCAACAACAACCTTACAATCGCCAATAGCAGCAGCAAGAAATCACTATAGCAACAATAAAATCTTTCGCAATGCACCTAGCGGGCGCACCGATTCATATAGCAAAAGTCATTGGCATAACAAAATGTCCAACAACTACAATAACAATAAAAACGACGGCAGCGAAAAGTTTATTAGTGGGGGGCGAACGCGTCACCGTGCCATCCGCTCGCTTAGCAGTGCTGGTGGTGGCGGTGTGAGCGGTAGCGGCGGCAGCGGTAGTAGTTTTGGTGGCAGCAGTCTGGGCGCGGACGGCAGTGGCAGTGGTACTGTAGGCTTTCACAGTTCGGCGGATGGCAATGGCAGCAATCATAACAGCATTGAATGTCCGAGGTTCGATGAAAATTCGGCGTGTCCTTGCTACAAATTCGAAGATGGTAAGTACATTGCTTTTATTTTTTTTTTTTAGGATAAGTAATCAAGGATGCATATCGTCGTTTAAAGTACAAAGCCGCGTATCGCCATTCTGCAAAACCGCGTAACTGGCATTAGCTGCCAAAAATTGGATTTGCTCACACAAGCTCTTGACTCAAGCCTTATCCATTCGTCCTGAATTTTACTGGCCAGGTATGCGATTGCTTTATAAAAAAGAGAACCATTTTGAAATATGAGTGTTCTTACTCTCTAGAAGATAAGTTACATAATTCACATACGCGGTTTTGCGTTATCTTGATACGCGGTTTTGTACTTTACATATTACGTAAAAAAGTTGGGTTACCAATCTTTAACTTACTTAGCCCTCCTACGGTAATGAAGAAGTTTATTTAGATAGTCACTTACGTTCATGAAAGGTACAACCCAATCGCCCGCCTAAATCGAGATACTTAAGTAACTAACTTACCGAGACAGTGGGTTCATGATAAATCCTGCATCCCCGCTTTCTGATGATTAAGGGATATATGCTACAATATTTCCTGGTTCTGGGTCTACTTTAAAGACGTCTCGCAAATAATTTCGCTTTCATTCAAACTTACTGACATGGTTTTCTAGATTAAAACATCGTATAAAGGCATTTAAGTAGCCTTGCCCTATAAGCATATAGATTAGATAAATGTTTAATCCTGGTTGACTTTAAATATTGCACTAGTAGATCTCTGTAGCAAATTTCCGGTCGTTGTAATACTGCGAGGTTAAATGTGGAAAGACTTCAGATTTGAATACGCACAGGGCCTGCAAACTCTGCCCAAGAACCTTAAAAATCTAGATTAACTATACAACTACTTTTCTCTATATAGAGAATTCCAGAGGGGAACGAATGGCAAACTGCCACACACCTAGACTCAGATGTTACAGTTCAAAGCTTAACGAAAGAGTACATAGGACGACTCACTCCAATGAACTCACACTAAAGCTCAGTATCTTTTTACCGAGCCCATTTAGCATTTTTCAGGCAGAATTAAGTGCCACAATGGAGGCCTCTTGGTGGCTCATAGCTTGCGCTCCACAAAAACGGCCAAGCTGCTAATGAATCACTAAAGTCCATAGGAGCAGCGTCAATAGTAGCCATGGACTCTCAACCTACTGTGATCTAAATCTTATTTTACTGATGTATGGGTTCGAAGACACAGGAGCATTCCTGACAACTGCATGGCCGACACCGTGGTTATACCTAATGTGACCAACCGTACTTCTTTCGGAAGTACAATACTTCTTTTTTCGCTCTTGTACTTCGATATTTGCTTGCGATATTTTGTACTTCAGGAGGAAGATTTTGTTACCAGTTAGCGACAATTTTGTGTCGTATCGCTATCGCAATTTTTGACGCACGATATGAAATGTTTTTGCGTAAAAAAAGTGTGATAGCGATTCGAAAATTGCCGCTAACTGGTTTCAGGATCTCCCCCCAGGTCTTGTACTTCTCCGATCTTCTGGACGATCGTCACATGGCCTGGGCGATAAATTCGTTCAAACCATTAAAGTCGCCGGGGACCGATGGCATCATACCTGCCCACGCCCACTTAGGTTTTTCGATTAAAAAAAAGGTGCTGAACAAATGTTGTCAAGGGTGTTGTTGTTGTAACAGCATACAAATTCCCGAAGAGTTGCAGTGTTGCTGGATTGACAGTCCTTGGCCAGAAGGATAGTATATTCTGCTGGAATCGACAATAAAATCTTCATTTCGTTCACGTTAGTCCTAAAACTGACACGCCCATTTATATGGGGTTTTCGCTATTAGAAAAAATTTGTCCGAAGAAATATTTTTACTGGATAGGTATTCTACCGGATTCCGCAATAAAATTAATATTTATGTGATGACACCTTGCTATCTATATGTATGCTCGAAAGCTATCCAATCATACATATTACCCCAAAAATTAACTGAAATCTGTATTGAAATGTTTTCATAATACTACATTGTAGAAATAAAACGCACACTTTTGTATGAGCAAAAAACACTTTGCGTATTTTTACAGCTGAGCCTCATATTAACTGGTACTACATATAAACTAACTATTCAGCAGGATATGGGCGCGAACGTGTTAATGCAAATGTCTCCGTATCAACTAATCCACATGTACATCACATATTTATTAACAACTTTTTCCACCTACTTACATATGTATGTACATATGTATGTATTTATGTATGATTATGAGGATTTCCAATTGTTTGTTTTTGTTTTCTTTCGCAGGCTTATTTCTCGAGTGTCCCGGTACGACGGCCATGTCGTTGCGCAGCACACTCGAACGCATCTCATCGCCAATACATTCATTATCTATTTATGACTTCGATCGTTCGGTCACGTCCCTTTCGCAGGATGTCTTTCAACCAGGTGTCAATATAAGGCATTTGCAATTTTCACACTCACACCTGGAAACGTTAAAGGATAACAGTTTGCGGCATGTACGTGCATCATTGGAATCGCTGAGCATTGTTAATGGAAAATTAACACAGGTATGTGTACAAGTACGAATACAAAGAGTAACCACAACAAATACAAGTATGTAGATACATATATACAAGTCGAAGTAGAAGTAGATGGAAATCAGCAAACGGCAGGGAGCGAATGCCGAAGTAACACAGCCAAATAGCTAGCCAGTGAAGCGTGTATGCCGTGTTTATATTATCCATTGTCGGCTTGTCGTTGATTGTAACGAGACAGATAGCAAAACTCAGTTATGCAATACATTTCAGCTAAACCAACACGTTGGCGATATGTTGATGATATGTAAACTTTGGTAAATGCAGAGGAGTATACTAATGCATATGCAGATTAGGGTGGGACAAAAATACACAGGGAAATCAACTTTCTGGAATTTTCTTGCTGCCGCTGAAACGGCTGGTTTGGAATTTTTCAACTCAAAAAAATAATTCTTATGTAAATTGAAATATTTTATTAATTTATTTCTTGCTTCTATTTCTCATCAGAATGATATTGGTAGATAATTCAGCTGACTAAACATAAAGCAGAAAAGATTTTTATATTTCAAAACATGGAAAATTAACTTTAAACATTTCCAATATTTCTACAAAAACTTTTATATAACAGTTTTATAACAGTTGTAATTTTTTTTATTGAATTAAATGCCGTTTAAATGCTATGCAAATATAGTAAAACCTTTTTAAAATTTTGACTTTTTCAATTCTTTTTTTTAACATTTCTTCATACGACCATCAGTTTGGAAATACCCACATTATATTTATACATATAAATTGTATGGCTTAATTTTCGAGCTAATTACTTGCAAAATTAGTCCTATTCGACTTTTGTGTAGTAAGTCATATAGTAATGGTACGTAGGAAGCCATACGTGTAAATTTGTTTAATTAATTTCTAACTTGAAAATCTTCGACAATTTGAATTAATTCCGCTCATTTCTCACTGTGCCGCGGTACGGTTAAATATTAACCGATTTCAAAATATTCTTCAATTCGATTTCAAAATAATAATATTCTTCAGTTGTTGGGAATGGCTGAAAAACTTATATTTTGGACCAACCTAATGTACATACATACAAATGTATGTTTGTATGAAAATAAGAAAATTTTGCTTACGTTTGCCGATAGTTTTTCCTACATTTGTGTTGCTTCTTTCGTATGAGAATTGCCGAACTACAGCAATAGCAGCAACAAAAACAGCAGTCTGATAGATGCGCTCATACATATGTATGTATGTGAACTGAAGCATCTACCCAATTGCTGCTTTCAGTGCACTCATCTTTGCTTAGCTCTGCAAATCTTATACGCCACCCTCTTTCTCAGCCACACGTAGTACACACACATGATGCCTCCTCCTTTCACCCTTTTCGTTAGCTTGTCAGGTTTCGTGCAATTTGTCTACGAATACCTGTCTGCCAGCATGTCTGTCGGCTGCTTGTCTGTAGGTTTGTTATTTTCCACGACTACTGTTAAATACGTGCCAGCAAATATTCGCCCAAAATTACGCATTCGTGCATTTGTGTTGGTTTCATGCGAAATGAACGTGCCAAACCGACTTGCATCAACTTTGGTCTTCTTCTTGGTCTTGGTCTTGGTATTCTTCTTAATCTGCTTCTTCTCCGCACCCCTCCGGTATTAACCGTATTTGCGTGCATGTGTTCTGATTGCATCAGTACATTTGTGGCAGGCACGTGTGCGCACATTTGGCAAATTGAAATCTCTAAAATAATATTCTTAAGGTGAATATTTAATCTACATATTGCATAATGCAAAAGAAGATGCGTTCCCTCAATGTACTTACATATGTATGTATGTATTTATTTCGTGGGTTAATTTATAGAATATGAATTTATATCTTATCTGTACATATCTATATATGTATGCTGATTTTGGTTGCTTATGAATTAAGTAGGTCCTTACGATTTGAGTGTGCTATTTAATTTGACCAGTGCTCGGGTATGTTACGTAGTGCTATGTATGCATGCGGCTCAAGTATGCTAATGAAGTTGTTAAAAGGGAGAGAGATTGATTGTTTCGAAGGCCTTCTATTATTTACCACTCTTTTCAGGGCACTTGATAGACAGTGAATCTTGACTACTTTTCAAAGCAATTCAAAACTAATTTTGTTTGCATTTTTAAAACGCTTAAAATCAAGACTTTGCGGCATAGTTTTAGGCACAGAATTGAGGGTTAAGTCTAGCGGTATTTTTTTTCAGTAAAATTGCTTTTTTTACTTCATTTTCGACACCCTTCTTACAGAAAAAAAACGTGGCACACTTCCAGTAAAAATGTTAACACATAACACTTATATATTTTGCCTTCTGTAGACATTTACATTAATTGTACACAAATACTCCACGCAAAATTTTCGGCTGCACAAATTAAGTTTTTGTAAAATTTAAAAAAGTGGCAAAATGACCTTTCTGCAAAGGAAAGAGTACATTGAAATGTTCTACAAAAATATTCCTCGGGAAATTTTACTATACATAAATGTAAGTATGTATGTCCGAACAAACTACTTCACTCATTTATCAATTTTAACCAATTCTTTTATATTTTTAAAATACTTTCAGAACCAAATAAAAAACCCTTTTTGCCCACAAAAAAATGTTGACGTGAGAATTCAAAAAACGCTACAAGTTTTGCTTTCTGTCCGCATTAGAAATATCCCGCCCTCAGATTTTTGTTGCACTGTCTTATTGACGATGAAATTTAAAATTTTGAAAGCTGGTCAATCCACCATTTGAACTTCATTACTTTTTCTCTCTTATTTTTTTCTAAACGCACTTATATCGAAAAAGCTGCAGTTTCAAGATTTTCAAAATTTTGAATTGTAATTTTAAATATCTGATTGAAAATGCCATTAAAAACTGTTCCAGCCAATATCTGTCAATAATCTTCTGATAATATTCTCAACTAGTGTATTTTTGAAGGCCCTTCTCAGAGAAGTTTACGGCGCACTATAACTTTACTAAACGTACCATTATACCCCGTAATTCAGTGGTGCTTATCTTCCATGTAAGAACATCTGTTACAGCGCACGAAAAGTACTGGGGTGCACTTAGACTGAAGATACTGCTGGCAAGAGCTGTTGATTTTTGTCTTCCTTTAGGAATTGACCCATCGTGTGCGCTGAACATAGCTCAAAAATATGTGAGTATTCTCAGTATTTAAATCGGCTGTATAATTTATAAAATACTTGTCAAATAATTGATTGCACATCTTAGCCAAAATAGGGCAATAGCAGAGGCAGGGTTTGATGGGCTCCACTTCTTTTTCGTCTCTGCAGCTGAGGCACAAATTGTTGGTTTGATATGCTAGCCTCCTATCATGTGTGGATACGTCTGGAAAGTGGGTTCTGCAGTCCACCTAGCGATAGCTCGTTGGTCATAAAGTTCCTAGAGACGTCTCTGTGTTTAAGGATCCATACAACGATTAAGGAGCGTTTCCATGCCAGCTAGTTGAGAGTCACCCTGCGCTCAGTGGCTACTTAGGACGTTGTTTCTTCGAATTTTAAAGATCGATCAGGCTGAAGGACAAGCATGTACGCCGTCTTGATTTGCGCTGTCCACCGAACAGTGATCCTGATAAGGGTGGGTTATACCACAGGTGTGAGCAGCCAGTGCACATGATGAGGACTTATATCCGTACTGCAGGTGTACCCGGCGGTTATTACGTTCTTGGAGCAGTCTTCAACTTTTCCTCGTACTCGACTACTTCCTCGTAAATTGGACCATCCCGGTCTTGACTGCATTGACTCTGAGTCCACATTCCTAACGGAGCCACACTTAGGTCCGAAGAGCCCATTTAAAGATTACTTTTTGCTGGATAACGAACTTATTTCTAAAAACATAACCAATTCATTTTCAAAAACCGCAAAATCATAGATTTATTGGAAATAGATAGATGGCCGGTAACCAAAACGGCGCGTGAGCTACGCCAATGTAGGATGGTGGCAGAGGAATTACCACGCGCTTTCCATTTGCCTTCTTCCATTAGACTGTTTCAACAATAGTCGTCCGTTCCCACCGCCATCCTGAGTTGAGGATGTTTCAAGCGAATAAGAGAACCGGACTTTCCTTAATCGATCTATACCAGACTTTCCTTAATCGATCTATACCAGATTCGTAGTACTAGTTGACATTTAAGTTCGATATTTTTCTTTGTATTTGTCAGCGAAATTGACCTAAGCCATAGCCTGGAAAAGGTATTCGCTTCGTGGAAAGGGTATACAATTTTATAGGCATTAAAAGGTAGACCATCAATTATCGTCAGTCGCTGGCCAAAGGAGGCTCTAAGAGGACTGACTTATTAAAATTTGACAGCTAATGTATGAAGCCGTTCAGAAGACGCATACGATCTCTGATTTTTAGCAACGGTTGCGTTCAACTGCTGCGCCTTCTGCACCTACCTATTGCACTGCACTGCCCTATCAAATAGGATTATCGACTCCAGGCTCGTGCTTTGATATTCCTCAGCTATTGCCAGCAAGAACCACGGTAACACTACACTGACTCCCAGGACTTTGCGGGATTGCAGGTGACGAGCTCGTCGAGGGATTGGCTAGTAAAGACTCATCATGTGTGCTTGAGAGAACGGAACCATTTCTGAACTCAGTTGGTCCACTTGGTCATAATTACTATGTCAGTGAACTCTGAGCATCGTAAGTTCTGGGGGAGTGTGGTAAGGAAGCCTTATAGCTCAACCAGCGACCGACAGACCGTACTTACCGTCCATACCAACATATGAAATTGCTGTTGATAGAGAGAGATAGAACCAACGACAGCGTCACCGTCATTCGGTGGTGAGTTTCCGTTAACACGATAATCCTATAAGATGTCAGCTGACACGTTCTACGGTTTTACGTCGGTGGCTGGTTGAGCTCTTTAGCATATTAGGCATTAATCTTTTGAATATAGCAAACATCAAGTTGCTTACAAGTTACTTAATTGGTTATAGCCAGCTGCGCTTGCACAGAAATTTCCTTCTTAAAAAAGGGTTTCGAAATAGTATCATTTGACGAATAAGGCCAAGCTAATAATTTGAAGAAATTTTTTTGTTCAATAAAAATCCCATTAAATATTTTTAAACCATATAAACATAAATTTTTTTCAAAGTACTTAAATCACGTTGCTTGAAATAAATTAACACAT